TGTCATCTGCTTACTTGAGCCCAAAGCACTCAGCCTGGGATTCCTATAAAAAATCTCCAACCGCTGGGGCACCTGGGTGGCTCAGTCAGTTCAGCGTCCTGACTCTTGATTTCAGCTCAGGTCATGACCTCACAGTTCATGTGTTCAAGCCCCGTGTCAGGCTCTGTGCTAACAGTGCGGAGCCTGCTTGGGACTCTGTCTCCCTCTCTCTCTCTGCCCCTCCCCTGCACTCTCTCTAAATAAATAAATAAATAATTTTTTTTGTTTTTTAAAAGCCTCCAACCGCTGATTCCTTTGAGTTACTCTTAAAAAGGTTCTCAGTGAAGGGTGAGCCAAGTTGTACACACAGATGAAGCTCTTCCTTTACAAAGCTGCAGGGAAGCACCTTACCCAAATTCCCCATGAACCCGCCTCCTCCGTGGAAGAAGATGATGCCTCACCAGGGGCTGGAGGACTCTGCCTTGGATTGGAACAGCCTCACAGGTATGGTCCCAAAATACAGGTCAGTCACTACAAGTCTAGCATCCTTTTTTATTCTCACAAAACCATGCAATAACTGGGTAAATCTGGGCCTGGAGCAGATTCCCAGCCTCTCAAATATATTCCCCTGTCAGGCGTAAGAGAAAGAAAGGGAGACATTAGGAGAGGTCAGGACCCATCTGGATCGTAGAGGACTCCTGTCACCTGTAATTGCTAGGATGTTTTTGCAGTTTCTCATCTGTCTCATCTGGGTAAGGCTCATCAGGAAGGACAGGCTCTGGATTGTGTCCACATAGAAGGTTTGGGTTTCAGAACTTCCTCCCAAACGATCTTGATTGAATAACGGTATGAATTGGCCAAAGATCTTGACCATGTTTAGGCTGAATGGTTGGGCACTGAATTGTACAAAGCCAATTGTTCAAGGCAACTGGCAGGCAACCTTCCTCTTTGGCTCTCCAGCCTCAGATGGCAAAAAGGGTCATCACTTGGGTCAACACCCAACATTGCCCGCCCGGAGCCTGCGCCATGACAGATTCTTAAGCCATGTTTGTGTTCAACAAAAGAAAGTAATGGGATTAGGGACGCCTGCTGTTGACTCAGAAGAAGGGTGCAATGGCACATGGCCATTTATTTGCCAAATGTGTATAAAATTCCATTGTTTTCAAACTAATATAGTCACTCTAGCTATAAACAAACAAATGTCTGAATAAATCATGAAATATAGTTACAAGTTATCATGTTGCATGTACTCACTGCCTTCCAACCACTGGAATCATCTCTTCCAAGGACCACACATTAAGTGTGTCCTTGTCCCAAGGGAAGTGCATCATTTATGAGTCACCTATAGCATGCCAGTAGTGGTCCGAGTGGTTATAAACTGGATGAAACTTTTCAGTGATGCTTCTAAGTCAAGCAGAGTTATCAGCTCTATTTTGTAGATGGGGGAGCTGAGGCAAACCAAGGTCAAGTGCCCTGCCTGCCAGCCAAGGAGTAACATGCAGAACATGTGTTCTCAACCACGAAACCAGAAAGAGCTTGGATTCTGGAGTCAGGAAGATCTGAACTCAAGTTTTAGCTTATCGCCAAACTAACCATCTCTGAGCTTCGATTTCCCTCCTTTACAAAATAGAATGGTGTCCACAGCCCAAGGAGGAGTCTTGGGGATTAGATATGACCACTCACGATGAGTGTCTCACTGGTGGGTCCTGGCAAGCGTGATCCCCAGTCCTTCTCCTGCTCACACCCACTGGGTCTTGTCCCAGGTCCCCTGGGATGCCCCAGTGCATTCCTTCCGTGGAGACATCCAAGGCTTTGATTTCTCCAAAGAGAACTCCAAACAAAACCTTCATTTCCCTGCTTGAGCTGGAGGAAAGTGAGGTGAGGAACTGGTTGGAGATGGCCTGCTTAGCCCACATCTGAGGACACCAGGCCTCTGTACTGAGCCAGCTCGGACCTTCACTGGCCAGCTCAGCTCCGAGCACCCTGACGTCAAGATGCCTCCTGTCGGCTCAGATGGGCTCCAGCGCTCACCTCCTCCATTGCAGTTCCCCCCATGCTCCATGTACTCACCCGTGGCTCACATTGTTTCCTGGAAGCCTTTCTACCTGCCTAGCAGGTGGAGAAACACCAAACGGACTTTCATATCCAAGCTCAAGTCCATGTTCTCATTGACTGATGCCATCCCTGACCTGTATCTTCCTGTTCACAGCAATGGCTGCTGCCTCCTTGGAGGCCCTAAGTACCCTGCCCAGATTTCTTCAGAACCCCTCAAGGCTTTAGTACATGGATGTGGTCACCCGTGTGTCTCCCTCCACCGAACATCATTATCTTCATCATGGACACCCCGTGATGGGCAGTGCGTCCTGGGGGCACCCAGCCAGCGCTGGAGGGATCAGGATGAGACATCACAAGCGAAGCTCCCCCTTCAGGGCCGTGAAGCTGGACAAGGAAACCCCCTGGGAAGAGGAGGGGGAGCCCTCGCGTGGTGCCGCTCATCGTGATTGGAGACCAGCGAGAAGACTTGCATCACCTTGTGGGCAGAAGAAGCCTGCTTGCCTCCGCCAACAGGAGGAAGGAAGGAACTTCTTGCCCAGCAACAAGCTCAGCCAATAAGAAGATACCACAACTCAGCCAATGAGAAACTGCCCCTCCCTGACCTCACACTTTCCTCCAATGGACTTTCATTCAAAGCAGCCCCTCCCACCTCCCTCCACTTCTCTGTAAAGAAGCTTCTCTCCTTTGATCTCTGGACTCGCAGGTGGTTTGCCATAACTTGCATGTCCCCAATTGCAATTCCTCTACTCTTCCTGAATAAGCCCACCTTGCTGGCAAAATAACGGGCTGTGTTGCTTCCAAGGTCCATCTGCGAGCCTCCTGTGAGTGCCCCAGAGCCACGGTCATCAGCAGGTGCTTGCAGCTTGTGGGCTACTCTTTAGGAGAAAACAAGGTCGGAAAGGCCTTGGTTTTTTCTGGGTCTCAAACTGGCCCATAATTCCGTGCAATGGCAGCCACTGGTTTGAGACAGACCGACTTCCAGTGAAGTGCCTGGCCAGGAAAAATAACAGAGATGAGAGTTTTGCCCTCAGCCTGTCTCCTTGAGTCAGTAACATTTCTGAAATTATAAACTAGAGGTGTTCATGTCTCTAAGAGTCATCCACATCCATGGTGGAACATTCCAGAAGCACATAAACATATTTTATTTCTTTACCAAACATAGGAAGCCCTTATCACGTGTCATTTAATTCTTTTGCCATCCTGGTGAGATGGACACCATTGTTTCCTTTCGCAGATGGGAAAATAGACACAGAGAGGTCAAGTGCATTGCCCAAGATTGCACAGCCAGAGCTGGGATGCACATGCTGGCAGGCTGCCTACCATCTGGGCTCCTTACCTTTCACTCTGCTATCAGCTAAGTGAGGCCTTCTGTCTTCCTCCTTCTACAGTTGCCCTCCATCCCAAGTAAGCAGTGTGAACTGTTGGGCTGATAACACCCAGGGGTTGGAACATTGGGTTAAAACCAGTGGTCTGCCTCCTACCAGATGCCAAGCCTTTGTTTCCAAACCTGTTGCAGCTCTAAATATGTGCCGTCCTATCCCCAACCCTAGTCCCTGCTCAGAGCCTGGCCAGCATGACCCCTCTGACATGCTGGATAGATTCACCTATGTCTTGATCAGCAAATGGAAAGCACCTACCAGGTGGCAGGTCTGTGCCTGTGGCCAATGTCGCAAAGGTAGTTAAAGCAGTCCCTGCCTTCCATGTGCCTACACTGTATTCAGAGGAGACAGCCTACAGGCAGCTGAGTGCGCAGAGGGCAAAAGAGGCTGGTTTAAGGCGGTTTGGTTCCCTGTCAGGCTGAAAACCCTGTAGAAGAAGGGGCTGGGTCTGCAATCCTTTTAGAATCCTCAGAAAGCAGCCAGGTGATGGGTGCTCAGTAAGTGTTTGAAGGAAGAAAAGGAGGGAGGGGCAGAGAGAGGAAGGGAAGTGAAGAGGGAGGGAAACAGAGCTGCAGACACAAAAGAGAGTGTAACAAAATATGTCTTGGGGAGAGTCTGAAGAGGAAAGGAGGGGCAAGTTATGGGGAGAGAGGAAGGGAGACCCAACCCATTACAGAGCCCGAGAACAAATTCACCAAAGTTAAAGCACACAAGAACAGGCAATGCAGAAATCTGAACTTGGCGGGATGTTGCAAGGTAGAGAGGACATCTACGGTGAGGAAATGCTGGAGGACAGTCCAGACGAAGACTCCCACAAAAAAGGTGCACAGGAGGGGCGCCTGGGTGGCGCAGTCGGTTAAGCGGCCGACTTCAGCCAGGTCACGATCTCGCGGTCCGGGAGTTCGAGCCCCGCGTCGGGCTCTGGGCTGATGGCTCAGAGCCAGGAGCCTGTTTCCGATTCTGTGTCTCCCTCTCTCTCTGCCCCTCCCCCGTTCATGCTCTGTCTCTCTCTGTCCCAAAAACAAAATAAATAAACGTTGAAAAAAAAAAAATTTAAAAAAAAAAAAAAAAAAGGTGCACAGGAGCACCAGGCACAAGACAAGCATGCTCCCAAGGTTGCTAGCAGCTGCCTCTCCAGAAAGAGGAGCTTGGACACTTGTGTTAGGAGAACGTGGACCCGCTATACCAGCTCTCTCTCTGCTCCCACTGGTTTTGGACTTAGCCGTGATTCAGTGGGCTAACATGGCATCTTACAGGGCCAATGGGAGCTGGAGGGACTATTTCTCTGAGCAATGAAAGCTCCAAGAAAACCAGTCTTGCCCAAGACCCCTAAGGGAAAGGCCTCACATAGTTGCGCAGGCCTCTGTGGCCTCACCTTCCCATGCAGAATCGGCCAGCTTTCCTCACCATGGCATGGTTGGGCTGGCCAAAGCACATCTCATGCCAGGTTGCCGCCCTGGCCCCATTCAAGTCCAGGCTGTGGGGAGAGGCAGCATGGCCGAGAGTCAAGAGGACTTACTCAGATGCCAGCCTGCCTGGGTTTGAATCCCGCCTTTTCAGCTTACTGGCTCAGTGGCCTTGGATAAGTTCTCTCTATTCTCTGCATCTCGGTGCCCTCCTCTGAAAGGAGATAGACTGCTGAGGAATTGGCAATAGCGCGGCAAAGAACAGGAGCATGCAAATATCCTTTTTCAAGCAAATCTTACTTACCTATTATAAATAAACGTATGCACACAAATGCCTGTGGAAGACTGCATAAATCGTGCAATACACTGCTCGAAGAATTTTCACAGTGAACGCACCCAAACACCGGCACCCAAACCAGGATACGGTACATCTCTAGCAACTAGGGGTCCCTTCTCCCCATCACCACCGCTCCCTGCCCATGACTAAACCCACCAAAGGCAACCACTGTCCTTCCTTTAACAGCCCACACTCATGTGGCTGATTTCTGACTTTTCTATAAATAGAATCACGCAGAGGGGACTCCTTTACGTCTGGCTTCTTTCACTCAGCGTCGTGCTGGATGTCTCTTCCACGTCGTGTATATGGGTTCACCCATGCTCCTTCCTGGATAGCATGCCACTGTATGAATACACCACAACTTTTTATTCTTTCTGCTGCTGCTGGACATCTGAGTTTTTGCCAGGCATCAGTTGATTGCCTCTCAGCTCCAAACTTGCCGTTTTAAAGCCATTCTTCCGCAGGGTGGTGTCTTGCTGGGAGCACTCTGAAATGAAACTACCCCGGGGGGCTGCAAAGGGAAAGCTACCTCAGGAGCCGGGGTTAGAGCAGCTGTCTACACCACGGAAGCTTGGAGCTACGCAACCACATGCACTACGGGATTAGAGGACTGGAGGAGCCACCCCCAGTACAGAAGCTGAGCCTGCAGAACCCTGTGAGGCAATTTGTGCCCCAGGGTGCTGTTGAGAGCTACTGGGCTACTGGGCTAGTGACTAACTACTTCACTAGCCTGCAATTAACAGAGGCAGGTAGCTTAACAGAGAGATCTGGGAAGGTCAAAAAGAGCTCTAATGCAAACAGTGTCATCCCAGGCTGATGGTACACGGCCCGACGCTGTACCCCCTGAGGAGTGACATCAGAAGCTGCACACTTGAGGGGCGCCTGGGTGGCTCAGCGGGTTAAGCGTCCGACTTCCGTTCAGGTCATGATCTCACAGTTTGTGAGTTTGAGGCCCGCATCCGGCTCCATGCTGATGGTGCAGAGCGTGCTTGGGATTCTCTCTCTCTCCCTCTCTCTCTGCCCTCACCCCCCCCCAAATAAATAAACTTAAAAAAGAAGAAGCTGGGGCGCCTGGGTGGCTCAGTCAGTTGAGCATCCCGACTTCGGCTCAGGTTATGATCTCATGGTCCGTGAATCTAAGCCCTGCGTCGGCCTCTGTGCTGACAGCTCGGAGCCTGGAACCTGCTTCGGATTCTGTGTGTGTGTATCTCATTCTCTTTCTCTCTCTCTCTGCCCCTCCCCAACTCATGTTCTGTCTCTCTGTGTCAAAAATAAATACACATTAAAAAAATTAAAAATAAAAAAAAGGAACTGCACACTGAGGGAAACACATGTAACTGAAATAGTCCATCCAAGTCACTAAACAAATAAGCAGACAATATGGGCAAAAAGCTCTGAGAAGGGGTAGGGGAATCTATCGTTGCTACATTGTAATATCTCAGTTTTCAACATCACCAAAAAATGAGACATTTTAAGAAACAGGGAAATATGATCCATACAGAAGAAAAAGCAAAAACACAGGCAACAGAAACTTCCTTTGAGAGCACCCAGATGTCTTAACAAAGACTTCAAAGCAGCTATCATACATATGTTCAAAGAGCTAAAGAATATCACACTTAAAAAATAAAAGAAGGTATGGTGGCAATATTTTCTATACCATATACCAACAAAGAGATACACATTATATTTTTTTAAAAGACCAAACTAAGATTATAGAATTGGAAAGAATAATAACCAAAATGAAATATTCACTAGAGGGGCTTAACAGTAGACCTGAGATGGAAGAAGAAATAATCCGCAAACTTGAAGGTAGATTGATAGATTACATAACCTGAAGAACAGACAGAAAACAAATAAAGAAAAATGAAAAGAGCCTTCGAGAAAAGTGGGACATCGTTAGGCACACCGATGTACATATCATGGGGGTACAAAGGAGAGAAGAGAGGACAAGGAACAGGAAAATATTCAAAGAAATAATGGTTGAACACCTTCTAAAGTTGATGAGAAAGGTTATACACATCCAAGAAGCCCAGTGAACTCCAAGTGTGATCGATAGAAAGAGAGAACTTCACTGGGAAATTCTGTCAAACACTTAAAGAAGAATTAATTCCCATTCTTTACAAACTCTTCTACTGGAAGAGGAGAGAACACTTTCCAAATCATTCTGTGAATCCAGTATTACTCTGATGTCAAAGACAAAGACAACTAGAGAAAAACCCACAGGCCGATATCCCCGATGAATATATGTACACAAATCCTCAACAAAATGCTAGCACATCGAATCCAGCAACATAGAAAAAGGATGAATTACCAAGTGGGATTTATTCCAGTAAAGCAAAGTTGATTAACTCAATTGGTGAAACTCAACTAATATAATATACCATATCAAGAAAATACAGGACAAAAGCCACGTGATCATCTCCGTAGATGCTGAAAAAGCACTCAACAAAATCCAAAACCCTTTCAAGATAAAAACACTCAAAAAAAAAAAAAAAATCCAAGATAGAAAGGAACTTCCTGGTTAAGGACATTGATGAAAAAGCCATACCTAACCTTACACTTAATGGTGCATATTCGTTTCCATTGATTCTGTAACAAATTATCACAAATTTAGTGGCTTAACCAATACAAGCTTATTATACAGTTCTGGAGGTCAAACGGATCTCGTTGGGCTAAAATCAATGTGTCAGGAGGGCTATATTCCTTCTGGATGCTCTAGAGTAATATCTGTTTTCTTGCCTTTTCCAGCTTCTAGAGACCACCCACATCCCTTGGCTCACAACCTTCTTCTTCCATCTTCAAAGCCAAAAAAACACTGGGCAAGGTCCATCTCATACTGCCTTCTCTCTGGTTCCCCCTCCTCTGCTTCTCCTTCTACTTTTAAGGACTTTGCAATTACATTTGACTCACCCAGATAATCTAGGATAATCTCCCTGTTCTATACTTATTAGCAATCTGCAACTTTAATTCTCCTTTGCCATGCAAGGTATACATTTGCAGGTTCTAGGATTAGGATATGAACGTCTTTGGGGAGGGAAGGGGCTATTATTCTCCCTGCCATGGTAAAAGGCTTTTGCTTTAAGACCAGGCACAGGACAAGGAAGTCCATTTTCACCATTTCTATTCAATATCATATTGGAGGTTCTAGCCAGGGCAATTAGGTAAAAACAAACAAAAACAAATAATTAGAGAGACAGAGACAGAGAAATAGAGATAAACAGATAGACAGATAGATACATGACATCCAGGTTGAAAAGGAAGAAGCAAAACTAATTCTATTTGCTGATGACATCATCTATCTATATATCTATTTATATATCTATATCTATATTAAAAAAAAAAAGACCCACAGCATCCACGACAAAGACTATCAGAGCTAATAAAGGAATTCAGCAAGTAGGGGCGCCTGGGTGGCACAGTCGGTTAAGCATCCGACTTCAGCCAGGTCAAGATCTTGCGGTCCGTGAGTTCGAGCCCCGCGTCAGGCTCTGGGCTGATGGCTCAGAGCCTGGAGCCTGTTTCCGATTCTGTGTCTCCCTCTCTCTCTGCCCCTCCCCCGTTCATGCTCTGTCTCTCTCTGTCCCAAAAATAAATAAAAACGTTGAAAAGAAAAAAAAATTAAAAAAAAAAAAAGGAATTCAGCAAGCTGGCAATGAAATTAAGAAAACAATTCCATTCACAATAGCATCAAAAAGAATAAAATATTTAGGAAGAAATTTAACAAAAGGTTGCAAAACAGGTAGTCTAAAAACCCCAACACACTGTTGGAAGAAATTACAAAACACTTAAATGAATTTAACCCCTTGTTCATGATACTGAAGACAATATCGTCAACTTGGTCTGCAGACTCAATGCATCCCCCCAGCAAAATCCCAACTGTGTTGTTTTTTTTTTTTTACAGAAATTGATGAGCTGCTCCTAAACTTCCTGTAGAAAACAAGCAGATCCAGAATACCAAAAACAGTCTTGAAAAAAAGAACACAGTTGGAAAAAAGAATTCACATTTTCCTATTTCAAAACTTTGTAAAAAGCTATAGTAATCAGGACTGTGTGGTCCTGGCATAATAAGGGTAAATATATGAATCAATGGAATAGAACTGAAGAGTCCAGAGCTAAACCGTCTTATTTATGGTCAACTGATTTTTGGCAAGAATGCCAAGATAATTCAATGGGATAAAAAATAACCAGTCTCCCAGAAATGGTGCCAGGACAATTGGATGTCCACATGCAAAAGAATGAATTTATATCCTTTCCTTACATCATACATGAATCTACAATAAGAACGTTAAAATACTACTTAGGAACAAAGAAGGCTACGTAGTATGTTCTTGGGTGGGAAGACTCAATATCATAAAGTTGCCAATTTCCTCTGGTATAATTGTAAAATTTAATGACATCCCAACAAAAATGCTAATCGATCTTCCCCCCCCCCCCACCCCCTGCCTGAAATTTACAAAAGCTACTTCAGAATCTCAAATGGAAAATAAGCAAATTCATCCAGGAAAATCCAAAGAACAATAGAAGGAAAATGGCCAGGCTAGATATTAAAACATATCTCAAAGCCTTAACAATTTGAGTAAATATGGGCTTTTTAACAAACGATGTACGATCGTTGGGTAGCCAGATGAAAAAAATAAATGAAATTGAACCCATGTCATAGGCTGTACCCCATGATAAACTCCAAATGGGGCAAATATAAACTTTTTTAAATGAAAACTATAAAAGCACCAGAAAAAGACACAAAAGAACTCTTACAACTTTGGAGAGGAAAAGAACTTTCTAACTATGTTTAAAAATACATAGGGTGCCTGGGTGGCTCAGTCAGTTGAGCGTCCAACTTCGGCTCAAGTTATGATCTCACAGTTCATGAGTTCG